GACTCAAGGGTCCCAGGTTCGATTCCGCTCAAGGGCATGTACCTTGGTTGCAGGCACATCCTCAGTGGGGAGTGTGCAGGAGGCAGCTGATTGATGTTTCTCTCTCATCGATGTTTCTAGCTCTCTGTCCCTCTCCCTTTCTCTCTGTGAAAAATCAATAAAATAAATTTTTAAAAAAATGAGCTGCCCAGGCAACCATCTCCCCCGTCAGAAAAGTCAGTCCCGTTATTTCGACTGTCCTGGACTGAGGCATCTGAAGGAGGAATTTCGGTCACATAGAAGAGGTGCAAGGGTGTTAGAATAACCCAGTAGAAGAACACACAATGGCTCGGACTAAGTAAAATCTCTGCATGAACAATTAAATCCTGATATTGACACCAATGAATTTAGACGCACTTAACCCAAAAAAAGGAAATCAGAAATTCCAGGTTTGATATTCAAACGTTTCCATTTTTAATTTGTCTTACGTGAATTTGTTTGTATTCTTTAGATGCATTTCACTGAACTGCTGCAGTGCTCCAGGAGTATGCTCAATATTTAGTGAAACCAGATAATGATGGCATTAAAATTGTCTTAATCCACACACAAAAGGATGCATGTGCAGAGACACACATTTAACACGTACTGCTTTATAATAATGGAATATACATACTATCAGATTTTCTGATATTTCAAGCCCCTGTGCTGCCATAAATTCTTAGACTACATCGGGAAGGCACAGACCAAGCCTGTCTGCGTGTAATTGGTCTCAGAGCGAAACCCCTCAGGTAATACCTTTCAAAATACTTCTGCTGTCTCCACGGCATTTGCTGAGTCATCTTGAGTTGTGGCTTCCACGGATGTCAAGACTGTAAGAACAGCGTACATCTATATATAGAGTCATTATTCTAGGGAAGAACACCTTTCCCAATCCTCCGTAAAATACTTTATTTCCAACACTCCAGAAGATGTCATTCAAAGTGGACGATAACAAAGCCTGTTTAGGGCCTCTCCATCTCTTCTTATGGTGTCAAACATTCACTGAGTTAAGCAGGAGCTGACTCAATGATATGTTGGGGATATAAGGAGATACTGCTTTAAAAATTAGTTTCTATGTGAACTCTCTGCAGCCTTGACTCCCTGTGATGAACGCACGGGTTTGGAGCTGCCACTTCTTCCACCGACGGCGTGACAAGGGACAGGGCATGTCCGCGCTTCACTCCCTCACTGAGAAACCCTACCCTGTCGGACAGGCTGCCAGAAATAGTCAGGTGTTTATTTATTTAGCATTTATTATGCACAGCAATGTACTAAGTGATTATCTCACATTAGATTCTTAAGATTGACCCCAATTTTCTAACAGGTAAAATATGTAAAAACACATGGGTTATTGTAACTTACGAAACAAGGATAAGATGTGTTCTTAGTAATCTAGAAAGGAGAAAAATATCTACTTGGACTTGGTAGTGCAGTCTACCCTTGGGAAATTTTCTGGCTGAAATTTAGAGATCAAGTGGTCTTTTTCCAATTTAGAATGTTCTCTGACCTTTGTGCACGATGTGCAGTTACTCCAGTAAAAGAATTTAATGACTCTTCTTGAACTGCTTCACAATTTATAGAGAGGATGGTAATAATACCAACTTCCCTTTGAATTGTGATGAATGAGCTAATTTCTCTGTGAATGGGTATGGTAGGCAGATTAATTTCATTCTCACAAAGATCACCACCTCCCAACCCACAGAACCTGCGAACATGACAGGTCACACGGCAAAGTGGAATTCAGACACCAGACAGAACTAAGGATGTACATGGGTTGACGTTGACGCAGGGAGATTGACATGGGTTGTCCGAATGAGCGCAAAGCAGTCGCAAACCATCCTTAAATGAGGAACAGTTGAAACTGAAGAGTCCTAATCAGAGAGGTGGCAGCTGGAGCGAGACTTGCCTGGCTGTGACGATGGAAGGGGGTGCTGCGGCAAGGCATGTGGGGAGCTCCTAGAAGTGAGAAGAGTCGGGGAGTGGGTTCTGCCCTAAGGCCCCCACAAGGAACACCATCCCGCTAAATCCTTCATTCCAGCCAGGGAGGCCCACTCTGGACATCTGACCTCCCAAACGGAAAGATCATCAATTTGTGTTGCTCTCAGCCAGTGGTTCTCAACCTTCCTAATGCCGCGACCCTTTAATACAGCTCCTCAAATTGTGGTGACCCCCAACCATAAAATTATTCTCGTGGCTACTTCATCACTGTAATGTTGCTACTGTTATGAATCGTCATGTAAATATCTGATATGCAGGATGTAATTTCATTGTTACAAATTGAACATAATTAAAGCATAGTGATTAATCACAAAAACAATATGTAATTATAGATGTGTTTTCCGATGGCCTTAGGCGACCCCTGTGAAAGGGTCTTTCGACCCCCAAAGGGGTCGCGACCCACAGGTTGAGAACCCCTGTTCTAAGCCATGAAGTTTGTGACAATTTGTCACAGCCGCAATAGCGTTCTTGCCCATCTAACACGTATGGCTGAATTAGCGATGTGCACTAAAACACTGTCAAGTCGCTCAATATGCTACAAACTACTGTCCTAATACATATTAAACGAACCAAACAATCACATTTGTTATGCATTTTCTGAAAAGAAAAATAAGAACATAATAGCACAGTGCAGTCCCGTAGAAACCATGACTTCAGACTGCGACCTCCAGAATTGTGGGAAAACAAACGCCTACTATTTCCAAGCCACCAAGTTTGTAGTGATGGATTACCGCAGCCATACACAGAAAACTAATACAAAGGCCAAGATAATTCAATGGAGAAAGGATTTTTTTTGGAAGAGCTAGATATACATTTTTTTAAAGATGAACTCTGACCTTTTCTTCACCTACACAATAAAGTTGACTATGATCAATAAATCAACAAACAACAAGTGCCGGTGAGGATGTGGAGAAAAGGAGGCCTTCCTGCACTGCTGGACAAAACAGTGTAGTTTCCTCAAAAAAATTAAAAATGGAACTGCAGCCCTCACTGGTGTGGCTCAGTGGATAGTGCGTCGGCCTGCGGACTGAAGGGTCCCGGGTTCGATTCTGGTCAAGGGCATGTACCTTGGTTGCGGGCACATCCCCAGTAGGGAGTGTGCAGGAGGCAGCTGATCGATGTTTCTCTCTCATCGATGTTTCTAACTCTCTGTCCCTCTCCCTTCCTCTCTGTAAAAAATCAATAAAATATAAAAAAAAGAGAAAAATTTAAAAAAAATAAATAAAAATGGAACTGCCTCCTGACCCAGCAATTCCACTTCCGGGTACATATCCTAAGGATCCCAAAACACTCATCAGGGCCCTGGCCGGTTTGGCTCAGTGGATAGAGCGTCAGCCTGTGGACTGAAGGGTCCCGGGTTCAATTCCAGTCAGGGGCATGTACCTTGGTTGTGGGCACATCCCCAGTGGGGGGTGTGCAGGAGGCAGCTGATCGATGTTTCTAACTCTCTATTCCTCTCCCTTCCTCTCTGTAAAAAAATCAATAATTTTTTTAAAAAAAACAGGAAGATGTGCACCCAATGTTCATTAGCAGCATTATTTACAATAGCCAAGATGTGGAGAGCGGCCACAGCGTTTGGACAGGTTCAAGCCTCGGACTGATGAGAGGGCACGGTCCTCTCCTGGCAAAGCCACGTGCAGGTCCCAGCTGGAGGGCAAAGCCCCCCCCCCCCCCCCCCCACACAATGACAGCCAAAGGCTGTGGCTGTGAGCTTGACCCCATGGTCTTAACCTGTGACCCCCCGTGCCTGAGTGATGTGGGCTTGATAGAGTTCAGGTGCATGTAGTTGAGTAGATTGGAAACCCACAAGAATGTTGTAGCCCTAACCGGTTTGGCTCAGTGGATAGAGCGTCGGCCTGCGGACTGAAAGGTCCCGGGTTCGATTCCGGCCAAGGACATGTGCCTTGGTTGAGGGCACATCCCCAGTGGGGAGTGTGCAGGAGGCAGCTGATCAATGTTTCTCTCTCATCGATGTTTCTAACTCTCTATCCCTCTCCTTTCCTCTCTGTGAAAAATCAATAAAATATATTTAAAAAAACAGAATGTTGTAAACATCTGACCATGCCCTTGCTTTGCCTCGTGGGATCTGCCATAAAATAAAGACTCAGCTTTCAGGCTGCGGCTGCCTCTCCATCAGAGAGGACAGCGTCCCACCCGGACCCAGCTTTCTTCTCTTGTCTGTCTTTTCTCCATCCTTCACCGCCCTCTCAGGCCCACCGAACCGGGCTGAGCTGCTGCGGCACATGGGGCACCAGCCTGGGGCTGAGTGTGCCACGGCCGGGCCGGTGGGGCACCCCAAGATCTGGAAACAGCCCAGTGCCCATCCCAGGTGAGGGGTGCAGAAGCCGGGCCCAGCCCAGCTGCTCGGCCTGGGCCTGTGCACCCGGAGGCCAGGGTGGGATTCCGGGTCAGGGCACCCGCACAGGCTGCCGGCTCCACTGGGCGGAGCAGGAGGCCGCCCATCCATGCCTCTCGCATCACTGACGTTTCTACTAGCATCTCTCCCTCTTCCTCCTGGAAATCAGCAAGAACATGTTTAAAAAAAATAAAGACACAGCAATGATGAGGGAGAACCGCGGATGGGCTGCCTCCTGCACGCCCCCCGCTGGGGGTCCAGCCGGAACCGGGCCTGTGCCCGCTGGGAACAGAACCGGACGCCCCGGTTCATAGGTCACACCGGCCACAGGCGGGCTGCACCCCATCTCGCTGTCGTGTTTATACCCGATGATCAGACGCCGCCCGGGGGCAGCGGCCAGCCACTGAGGGTGCCCCGATTTCTGCCGGCGGCACAGCCTGGCACCGGGGTGGGCACCGGGGCTCCCCCCACCCCCTCCCTCCCCCTCCCCCACTCCCCTCCCCCACGGGAAGCGCGCGCGGGCACTTCCGCCCCAGCCCCACACGCACTTCCGGCTCGCACGTGGCGGGAGCGGTTGCTCGAGGCCGGGCTGTGGGTTCCGACGCCCCAGGAGATCGCCGGGCCTGCGCGATGGCGTCGCGGTACGACCGGGCCATCACCGTCTTCTCCCCCGACGGGCACCTGTTCCAGGTGGAGTACGCGCAGGAGGCGGTGAAGAAGGGCTCCACGGCGGTGAGCAGCGCCCCGGGCCACGCGGCCGGGGACGGGCCCCCCACCTCCACCCCCACCCCCACCCCCGTGAGCTGGTCCGGCGCCGCGCGGCCTGGGGACAGGGGGGCCCCGTGAGCTGGGGGACAGGTTGAACCCCACCCCCCACCCCCCACCCCCGTGAGCGGGCCGTGCCTGTCGTTGAGGGAGAGGACGGCTCGGCTGCGGGTGATGACGCCCACGCTGGTGGGTCTCAGGGCCGCTGTGTGCACCGGC